ACTTGCTCGGGATATAACCATTAATAATATCGAAAATATTTGTTCTCGTTGCAGACGATGCAGTCGACCACCTGCTGCACCGCGCTGGCGAGCACGGAGCTGTGTTTCAGCTATCCCCAGTACCCATGGCCGCAAGTTCGAGCTGGCATGCTCTACGTGGAGGATGAGACGGTTGTCGAGTTCAAAGAGCTATAACCTCGGCGGTCGACTTAAGTGACCAGCTGCCGGGACAGAGACTGACCGGCAGAGTTCTGTTGGTGCCTCATACTTTTCTCTGTTTGTTTCTGTTTTCTGTTCCGCAAGTTTTTGTCATTATAACTAGTTGCAGTTGAATTAGCTTGTTGCAGTTCGTTTATGTTTTGCTGCAGAGTGTCCCTTAACCGTTAAGAGACGTGAAACGTTGGACGCTAATGAATGAGATACAAGGCACTTTGATGTTAAGCACAGGCAGAGCTTTGGAGTCGTAAATGTATCAGTTAACCAAACCATTGAAACTGTTTTTGCGTATGATTATTCGGAAACTGCGTCTTTCACATGCCATGGTTGCACGACCTTTCTATAGAATACGAAATAACATAATCGCACATAAGACTGTGAAATAGAAAGCTACTTGGTATAATAGTCTGCTCCTTATGATCGGTTCCTATAGCTGGTCTGGTCTTGCAACCAGCTATGATCATTGAGCGTTACCGTCCATAATAGGTTGTCCAGCTTGCTTGTTCGTATGTGCATGAAATACAGATTTAACTTTGCTGTTCTCTTGACTTGTCATTCGTTATAAACAGTACAAAATGAGCGCAGGGTTATTATTTTGTCAATTTTATGTCGCCCATGGCATGACAATAGGTGTCCACGCACTTGTCGTTTTACAGATCAATCGATATCTTGTTGATTGTTCCTACAAAACGACCACGTTTCTGTGTTCGGTGTCATTGCTCGGTGTTAGTATTACGGATAGTGTATGGTCTTGTTGGATGTTCTTCCTCGTCTTGCATGCTATTTTACACACAAAATAACACGCAAGATGGGAATGAAAATCTGATAAGTCGCGTTATCCGTAATATTAACAGCGGAAAATCTACTCATCTCCTGCCGGTCAACGTTACCTATGACTGATAGGTAGGTTGACTGGTAAGAGGTGAGGAGATTGACCGGTCGCTGGCGCAGTCAAATAGGTGGTGTCCATAAAACCGCCCATCCATTAGTAAATTAACTCACAGAATGAGAGTAACGGAAATGAGTAACCAGCGATACATGAGTTTTCACAATGAGTTAGGTGAGTAGATTGACCGGTCGCTGGCGCAGTCAAATAGGTGGTGTCCATAAAACCGCCCATCCATGAGTAAATTATCTCACAGAATGAGAGTAACGGAAATGAGTAACCAGCGATACATGAGTTTTCACAATGAGTTAACTCATCGAGCGTGGGTAAATATGCATGAGTAAACGCACGTTTCTTCGGAAAGTTGACCGGCATGTGGTGAGTTGATTAACCGGTCGCTGGGGCCGTCAAATAGGTGGTGTCCATATAACCGCTCTTCCGTGAGTTTACTCACGAGAGAAGAGTAGATTTGTTTTCAGTGCGGATGGTGGATCGTCATCTATTATGAACTCAACTACGAGAGAACGACCTTCATTTCGTAACCCATCATGACAATCGGCTTCAGTGATAAGGGCGATAACACGAGAGAAGAAGAACGAGGAAGAGAGTATGTAGATTCTGACGGCTAGTCGCCAAGCTTTGGAATACCCAACTATGTTTGCAGAAGTTTGGAACATGACTAAGCCCTATTCCGACAGTCATGTTTCACGAGACAAACTTGGGACCGGGAAGACCAAACATATGGCATGCCCTAAGAATGGCTTCACGGGCTCGCACGACGTGACCAACGGGGTGATAATGCTCACGGATATTCGTGGAGCCAAGCCTGGCACTCAATGGACCAGAAGTTCCGGTATGACCTCATTACAACTCTTTCTACAACTACAGATCAGCTGACATCCGCTGCAAAGTTCCGCCAAACCGTTCCAATGCCACGTCCACGCACAATCACCGAACGATGATGCATATGAACATGGAGAAATGAACCAAGTCATGATGGGTCAGCTGAAACTATCACGAATAAGTGACGTCATGGCTGTTGGCTATCCGCCTGAACCGACCCAGAACCGACCACTGAGGAGCCCGCTGATCCAGGGTAGGTAACTAAATACATGCACCTAATCGACTGACGGGCACGCTTTCTCAGAAAACAGGGAGGCTGTTATTAAAGTTTTTTTTCAGGCACACCAGATCGACTTTTTGTATCTGTTGCAGACATGGAAAATATAATTTGATGACGTCAAAATGAGATTGACTTATAGACAACTAGACGCATTATAAAGTAGCCTATGATAAGGTGCAATTTAATCTCCTATTTGAAATGTTCTTGCTTCTTGTAATCATATTATGCATCGGACACGAAAAGCATCACATGCAAACTTGGCTTCGTTTAAAGGGACTATCCCACCTTCTAAAATGTTGTTAAAACCAGTTAAATTGTGCCCGACTTTATAGATTGGATGACCAGGAACACGTTCTGGCATTTATTTTTCATTAAACATCTTAGGCTTCCCATATTCCAAACACAAACTTTCAAATATGTGACGTCACAGCCCAAAATTACCTCCTTCCCCAGGCCACATTACTGTCATAAAGCTGATTCTTTTTACTCTGTAGGCACCAAAACAAAGTTCAGACCAAGTTTTAAGCGATTTTTCAACGAACAAACCTATTTAAATCAGAATGACTAAACGAGGTGACGTCACACTAACGGTCGCTCCATGTTGAAGATAGGGCCTTGCGCAAGGCCCATTTTCAAATGAAGGGAACGAATTTCTTCAACACCAAGAGGCCGCGGGGGTTGCAACCTAGATAGATAGTGGTTTCTGAACCTCGCCGCAAACTTGGCTATCTCAACTCAAACCCCATGTTAAAGGTGGGATAGTCCCTTTAATTATTGAGACATTTTGGTTGATAGTCAAGACTGCTTATCTCTTTGCGTGCAGTGTCCGAACATTCTGCTTATCAGAGACGCATCGAAAAAGTGACACGTCTTAGCCACTGTTGTGTGATTACTTTTTACGGGCCATGGCCAGCCATTTCTGGAACACAATACCACGTTTAATCAATCAATGACGCCCTGCAGATAGATAGAGTTATTGCATTTTGCACGCCGACCCGGCTGGGCGGGTTAGTGGGTCATCAAGACACGCCAACTCACCCCCCTCCCCCCGACCCTCCGACCGACCGACCGATTTTGTGAGCGACAGAATCGATTGGAAATGACACCACTCGGCAGCGCCCACCACACATGCAATTGCACAGGCGATTAGCAAATCTCCGTATTAGTCAGCCTGAGTCACACATTAAGTTTGGCGTGCTTACTCTCTTACTTGGCTGTGTAGAGGTTAATGGTAATCAAGCGTTAAGGTTTATCTGTGGTCGGTACGAAGAGATAAAAATAAGCTACTTACAAATTAGTTACGCCTAAAAATAGCGGAGTGTGCTGGCTGCCGAGCGAAGACGACTTTCTAAGCGTTAACTGTAACAAGTGCGTGCGTTCTGCAGCTCTAACACGGCCTTGATCTAATTACAGATTCAGGTCTAATTGCTTAAGTTAGCAGGATAAAAACTTAAACACAAATGCAATTGAAATTTCAATATGCGACTTTTTGCTCGAAACACCCGTTCCGCTCCGCAAGATATTTGGAGAAAAAAAAAACAGCAAACGCAATCGAATGCAAAAACTAGCAATGCCTTTGCCAATGAACACGTCGAAAAACCTTGGCAGGATCCTTTTAATGACGTTCAGATGGATAACTTTGGTATGGCAAATGGCACAAGATGTCGCAATGGCACATGCAATTTCGTCACCATGCCACTAAAATGTGACTAAGTTTTCTGAAGACTATCCAGATAAGTCTATGACGCGACATGTCAAGATGTGCAACAGCAGAAATAACAGGTCGGTGGACCCGTGTACCCCACACCACAACCAGGTCACCCATAGGTCACACGGCACGTGTACGAGACGGCAAACCCGTGCTCCCATCGCCGTCCCAGGCCGGCTGTCATATCTGTCCGTTCCTGTCATCGACCGGCACGTGCGCCGTTTGACATACACGGCTGAGGTTTGTTCACCAGCCCCGCGCCCATATGCCCTTTGGAGCAAATGCCGAGCCCGTCCATCTTTCTCCGAAATATGCGTTCTGCAATGCACAATAGCCCTTGCAAGGCGAGCCACGGCCGCGGCATGACGGCAGGCATTGCAAAATGTCACAGCATTATTGATGAAGGTGTTTACCGAGAAACATATTTCGACGCAAATCCAGGTAGGCGGAAACCAGTTCTGGGCCTTCCCGGGCCAGTTTTGTTCTGGGTCTCTCTCGGCCAGTTTTGGGGCTCTCTCGGCCAGTTTCTCGGAGACAGAGTCGACGCTGCACGCTTTACGACCGAGATCGGAATCACAAACCCGGCTCGGTGCTAGCATTGGTTCATTGCTGAGTGGGATGCAATTTGTGATTGTGGGCTGTGCATGAATGTGTTGCTAATGAATCAATTATAACTAAACATACCGAACAGACATACTATTGCGCAAAGTACCATTCATCAAATGTTGAGGATTGCGTTGAGCCATTTAAAATTCTTTTCTGCGGTTGTGAATTGCGCACGACATAATCTTGTTAAATCCGTTTTTAAGGACTATCGTTTGTGTCGCATTCAACATAGCTACATCACAGACAGGTTCTCGGGAGTGTTGGAAACTTTCCCGTATTTTTCTACTCAAAGTAAAAAGACAGGCAAAAAAAAAATTGTCAATCCGTTATCAGTTACTCTACAATCATGCAATCAGGTTATTCTACAGTCTACCATCAGGGAGAGAACAATTTTTTTTATCTAATAGATCACACCACACCGCCACACCAGCACCCATGTGAACATCAACAGCTGTACTCACCTTTGCTCCTCTCCCGAGCGGGTACCCGCCGAAATCCACCTCCTCCCAGTCGCCCTCCAGCTCCTCCGGCTCCCAGATATCTGCCACAAACAGCCCGCCTCAGTCAACACGCGTCCAACGCATCGTGGATGGGCGATTTCACAAATCCGGAATGGATGAATGCGCGATTGAGATTCAATAGCAGTGGAAAAACGAGCCGCCTCGGCTGAGCGATTGAATAAGACAGGGGACCGCTTACCGTCGTCAGAGTCGATTTGCTCAAAGCCCTGGCGCTGCAGCTTGGTTGTTAGATCGACATCGTCAGAGAGCTCCGGCGTCCACTGGGTGATGAACTGGTGCAGCTCCTCGCATCTGAGAGTGGGGGAGTGATTCGGGTCAGTCAAGCACCGGCGATGTTTCGTGCGACAAGGAATATACTGCGAATGATCCGAGAACGGCAGGCGCAGATAAGGTATAAAGTACGAGACAGCAATAAAACAGGTCATCTCAGCACACAAATCACATGCATGGTTATTTGCATTGTCAGGCACAAACGGACGTAATGTATGCAGTTTGCAATATCTAAATACCACGTCCTACAGCCTCTGATCGAACTTTCACATTTACCGATTACTTCCAATATCGGTTTCTGCATAATGCTTTCGTCACATTCTCGTAAACCACACTATTGAGAACCCTCCCACGACAGTTCCTAGACCACCTCACCTGTCTCGGGGTACGGCGAACAGCACACGCGAGGGCAGACGGCGCTGGCCACAGAACATGACTTTGGTGCGCTCTGAGCGGGGCAGCAGCCGGCCGCGCGTCTTTCCCGTCACCATCTCCAGGTAAAGAGGTGGCTGCGACACCACCGGGGTATGCACCCGCAGCAGCTCTGTATACGGGGAGGGGGATCAGGCCAGAGACAGGCTGGCAGAGGGAGGGGCAGGACAGGAGGTACAGACACCATCGGGGTGTACACCCACAGCAGCTCTGAATAAGGGGAAGGTAGGTCAGACTAGAGACAGGCTGGCCAAGGGAGAGAGGGGGTAGTGTTTCAATCAACACTCAGCAGCTTATACGAACAGAGCGGCAAAATTCGTTGAAATGGAAAGTGACTAGTTATAGGCGATTAACAAAATCGAACAAGCTTTTCGACGTTCAAAACGAATAAACCGAAAACATACCGTCTGCTGCCTTGAACAGTGAAGGCTTCTCGTCAAAAGCTATTTCGTTCTTGAGCGAGTGTTCCGAGCCAGTAGAGCCTTTCCGGAGAGCAATGGTCTTTGCGCTGAAAGGAGACAAAAATGTGAGTGAATGAACTATCCACAATGTTGACTAACATATCAACGAATCATAATTCCAAGGGACATTGAACCTTAATCCTGATTTTCGTTTCTTCCACATAAACCTTTAGTTTCAAGCAAGACATCAGACTATTTGTCCTACCGTTCAGCTGCTTCGGTGTTCTGTTTATCATCCTGCGCCTCTCCCGTAGCGGTGGCCTCCGGTGCCGGGGAAGGGACACCGACTGAGCCCTGGCTGCGCAGGCTCGTAGACAGCGGCAGTGAGCTGCGTGAGACACGGAGGTCGAGTCAGATAAGGGGATATCGGGACTGCAGGGAAAGGGATATATGCAGGCAGCACAGTCCTCTCAGACATGGGTGGAAGAAGGAGCTTTCTAGTTAGTAGACAACAGTCGACGGAAAACTACACAGCGGCTGCTAACTGGTTGACAAAGACGGTATTATGCCCCGCCTTTATGAGCAGGAGCATAAGACGCAAGGCTTCCAGACCGTAACAAGCTTCTTTTCCATGACACTGAATAATCCGCATTGTCTCTTAAATGCAGCTTATAGCGGTCTCTGCAAAGAATGTATATGAAAATGAGATTCCCGGCTTCCTTTTTGCAGATCACACAAATCCGCATGACAACAAGCAATGAATGTCCTCTAAGTGTCCCGTCGAGGGACATTTAAGCAAAAAATCGCCATCCTGGTAACTACTTGGCTAAGCCGCCCCGCTCTGACAGTCACCCAGCGGACTCACCACTCGGAGCCCTCTGTCGCGGACGACACTGAGGACACGATGGGTATGACACTGGACAGAGGCGATCCGTACTCCTCGTCTCCTTCCTGCGGCGGCGGCGGCGCGGAGAAGCTGGCCCGACCGTCCCTCGACCCCCTACCGTACGCCGGCCGCTTGGCCTCGCCCGCACTGGCCGGGGAAGACGGCGAGCGGTCAGCGCCGGCCGGGCTCGAGTCGTTACGCTTCTCCGGGCTGCCCGGGTCGCCCGGTTCACCCGGGTCGGGTTTGGATCCAGTGTCCGTCTTTGGCTTCTGTGGTGACGAGGGTTTACTGTCTCCGAGAGCGGTGGTGGATCCCTCTGGACCCTGTCCATCGTCCGAGCTGGTGGAACAGGGTCGCTTGCCGCCAGATACGGTGATGTGCGAGTCATCTGTGGTGGACGTCTCGACCTTAGCGCCCCCTTCCGAAGTCGTAGGGTCCGGTGCCGAGCTCCGACGCTTTTCCTTGGAGCTGAACGATTCTCGATGTGCCTCTCGGCTGTGGAACGATGACATAGACATGTTAATATTAAATTCCGAAACATATTATCTCCACATGTTCTCGATAACAAAAAAAAAAAAAAACATGATAAACAAAACCTGACGAACAACGCAAACGGAATCCCAATCTAAGCGCAATTTCAACAAAACTACCGCATATCACTTTACCGTCCCCACATCACATCTCTCAGCATACCCCACTATTCACTAACTAGCTCGTATCATCCACTCACTGTTGTGAGGCGGCGGCGGGGCTGTGGTGGGGCGGCTCCGTATAGTATTCGGCCGTCACCAGGTACCGTACCGGTACGTCGACCGTGTAGTACTCCACGCCGCGGTCCACCACCAGCGGGTCGGACACGTTCGGGCGGAACATGAGCGAGTTGGGCGTCATGATTAGCGTGCCCACCGCCACGCCCTGACGACACAGAGAGGTACAACCGTAATGACTGATCCCGAAGAGAGTAATGACATAGCAGAGTGGGGAGTCGTGACGGTCAGAATAGAAACCGCGTCATGAAAAGCGTCAAAAATGCTCCGTCATACAACATCCGCTAGATTTTCACGCAAAGAGCATCAGATTGAATACCACCACGCTGGATATTCGATCTTGCAGAAAATCAAAAGCTTAAAGGTACCCTCCCACCTTAGCATTAGATTTGAGTTGAGATAGCCAAAATGGGGTCCCTGGCTCACAATTACCGGTTTCGGCACTCACAACATCGAGAAATGCCTTAAGTCGGAAATATTGAATTTCAAAATTGCAGCATTTTGATTCAGAGGGGCTAATGCATAGGAATACCCCTCTGAATGTGTGACGTCATTGCAGATATCTAACGATTTTTAAATGTTTGACTAAAACGTTTTGTAGCACGCGGTGGTATATGCTGCTTTGCGCGCAACAAATGCCGCACTTTCAAATAAAGTCGCTATAGGAACAGCGGAGATCCCAAAAAGTAAACAAAAGTAAAAGTCTAATATCTTGAAAACCGGTGAATATTTTTCGATGAAATTTGGTGGATATTCGTTTTTGCTCTTTCTGAGCCGAACGACATCACTTTCATGCCAATTCATTAACTTTTTTGAAGGTGGGAGGGTCCCTTTAAAAATTGGTCATTTCAGACTATACCACCACCGTAATCACCTCGGACTCCGTGAAGAGTCGCGTCCGGCGGATCTGGATGTGCTGCTTGCCGTTCGTGTCGTCCCCGGCACGGGCCGTTCCGTGCGAGCCGCTCGGTGTGGACCGCGAGCGGTGTCTGATCGACAGCCCTCCGCTGTCCGATGGGGGCTCCTGGTCGGCGTCACCGCCTCCTGAGAACGCGCCACACACAGAGACGCACCACTAATTACGACGGAACTGGATACTGGACAGCAATAAACAAGATAACTGGCAGTAACACACCACATCCAGGCCTTTGAAAGACCCTCACAAAAAGAACACATCGATAGATAAGATTGGAGGCGCTGGGGGCAGTGGCACGAGCCTATCAGGCACTGCAGAGCATCAGCTCCTGTGCCACACAAAATATAACGACAACACGTCAGTCAGCTAGCCATTTCGATCATTACGGATATTGAAAAAGAGCTGCAGCCAGCCGTTTATCACTGTGTTATCGTCTGACCTTGGCTCTGGGTCGGCTCTGGAGTGGATCGCCGATCCAGAACACGCAACACCTGGCCCGGCAGAATGGTCTTCTTGAACTGCAGTCGGTTCAGCTCCTTCAGCTCGCCCGGCAGGCACTCGTAGAAGGCGGCGATACTTGGGATGGTCTCACCGGGCTTCACCTGCGCGACACGAAATAGACAAACGTGTGAATCGAAGTTAAAATGGGAGAGGGAGAGGGAAGAAGGGAGAGGGAGAGGGAGAGGGAGAGGGAGAGGGAGAGGGAGAGGGAGAGGGAGAGGGAGAGGGAGAGGGAGAGGGAGAGGGAGAGGGAGAGGGAGAGGGAGAGGGAGAGGGAGAGGGAGAGGGAGAGGGAGAGGGAGAGGGAGAGGGAGAGGGAGAGGGGGAGAGAGAGAGAGAGAGAGAGAGAGAGAGAGAGAGAGAGAGAGAGAGAGAGAGAGAGAGAGAGAGAGAGAGAGAGAGAGAGAGAGAGAGAGAGAGAGAGAGAGAGAGAGAGAGAGAGAGAGAGAGAGAGAGAGAGTTAAGACTGTAATTACGTATGTGCATTACGTGCATGTCGTCGACTTATTCCAGCATCGGTTGTACCAAGTCCTACTCCTACCTAAGTCTTACCTACACCGGTGATCGTGGTCGAAAGTGTGTTTAGCGAAACTGATTTTCTATGTACAAATGTTCAGGGAAGAAAGTTCATGTAAAACACACCTCTCGGAGACGGTATATGTTGCGTCGCGGCACATGACATATGACATATGAGAAAGAGAGAAAGTGGCGAGGGAGCATGAATCGGAAAGCTTTCCTCATGATCCCCCTATCATCTTGTCTCGCATAAACCAGAAACATGGTGACGAAAGGACACTAGACAAACATGCCGTTGTGAGAAAATAAAGCCTAACTTTCAAATCACTTCATTTCTTCATTCCTTTCCTCATTCATTCATTCATTCATTCATTGGTACGTTCATTCTGTCGGTCAGTCCTTATCAAATTCATTTATTCACCAACTTATCTATCTATCTAATATTCATTCATTCATTCATTCATTCATTCATTCATTCATTCATTCATTCATTCATTCATTCAGTCATTCAGTCATTCAGTCATTCAGTCATTCAGTCATTCAGTCATTCAGTCATTCAGTCATTCAGTCATTCAGTCATTCAGTCATTCAGTCATTCAGTCATTCAGTCATTCAGTCATTCAGTCATTCAGTCATTCAGTCATTCAGTCATTCAGTCATTCAGTCATTCAGTCATTCAGTCATTCAGTCATTCAGTCATTCAGTCATTCAGTCATTCAGTCATTCAGTCATTCAGTCATTCAGTCATTCAGTCATTCAGTCATTCAGTCATTCAGTCATTCAGTCATTCAGTCATTCAGTCATTCAGTCATTCAGTCATTCAGTCATTCAGTCATTCAGTCATTCAGTCATTCAGTCATTCAGTCAGTCAGTCAGTCAGTCAGTCAGTCAGTCAGTCAGTCAGTCAGTCAGTCAGTCAGTCAGTCAGTCAGTCAGTCAGTCAGTCAGTCAGTCAGTCAGTCAGTCAGTCAGTCAGTCAGTCAGTCAGTCAGTCAGTCAGTCAGTCAGTCAGTCAGTCAGTCAGTCAGTCAGTCAGTCAGTCAGTCAGTCAGTCAGTCAGTCAGTCAGTCAGTCAGTCAGTCAGTCAGTCAGTCAGTCAGTCAGTCAGTCAGTCAGTCAGTCAGTCAGTCAGTCAGTCAGTCAGTCAGTCAGTCAGTCAGTCAGTCAGTCAGTCAGTCAGTCAGTCAGTCAGTCAGTCAGTCAGTCAGTCAGTCAGTCAGTCAGTCAGTCAGTCAGTCAGTCAGTCAGTCAGTCAGTCAGTCAGTCAGTCAGCCTGCCCACTAATTCACTAATTCACTAACCCGTCAAATACCTATACGGTCGACCTTGAGTTCGCCACAGGAGCGAAAAAAATGCCCGTAGTTATTGCACATTGCATTCCTCGAACACTTGCAAACTTGCATACAGCATATATTTACCAGATGATTTACCATCACGCGAAGAAAAAGATTCTCCAAAAACGCACCCCTTCCACACCTCCATCTATATTACTATTTGAGGAGGGTGCGTCTGTCCGTTACCGAGGTCCCGACTTGGTGGTGCTTTGCGTGGACTACAGGCCAGACCGTTGCACCTAGTCTATATTACTATTTGAGGAGGGTGCGTCTGTCCGTTACCGAGGTCCCGACTTGGTGGTGCTTTGCGTGGACTACAGGCCAGACCGTTGCACCTAGCCCGGTGAAATTTGCACAACTTATAGATCAAGGATGCGCGACGTGCCTTTGAGGGGTCTCAGCTCGATCGGGTCGATATTGAGCGCGTGGCGCGTGCCCAAAAAGTGCAAATTCGCGTCATAGACTTTACATGTATAAATCGGCGCGCGAAATCGGGCGAAAACGGCCAAATTTGCCCGACACGGGTCCGGTCCCGGTGCAATATCTTGGTGACCAGGGGTCCGATCGGCACTGGGAAAACACCATCGTGTACAGAATTGAACGGGCTATTGAATGGTGTGCAGTGCAGAGGATAGCACGCGCCACGTGCACCGGAGAGGGCACTTTTATTTGAAAAATTGCGGTTTTTGAGGGATTTTGGAATTAATTTTATTTTTAGGTGACCGTTAAATGGAGCGAGTTGAATCAACGCCTATTTGCAAGAGAAAGGTACCGCCTCTCATATAAAAATTGTGAAAAGCTGATTGATCCAAATCAAGGTGGTACAAATCACGGGAGAAAATGGTGTTTGTCAATTTTGTGTCACTTTATTAATCACACGGGGTTTGCTGCATAACCTGATACCGTTGGTAATTGAATATGGTACCATTGGATAGAGCATGCAATTCTGTCCAATATTCACTCTTCATTTTTGCATGATTAGCAACAGTATTCTTAAAAAATGTAAATTTTCCAAACCATTGCATCGTCATTTTTAGCGAAATTCATCGATGGCCCTCAAAAGACTTCACGCCAGTTTTCGAATCATTCTAAAGTAGAACGCATGATAATACGACACGGGCACCTCGATGCGATGTATCTTTTTTGTTTTATTACAAGATGCTTGGCCGTCAAAAAGAAATCGAACGAAATGGATACCAACCAAATCGACACAGACCAACCCAATACCCACTGGTCAAAAATAACCCTTCTTCGCGTTGCGGAGCACGCGGGTAACCCTAGTAAACGAACTATAGTAGAAATGAAGTTATCAGCGGTGAGACTTAAGTCTCGTCGTTTTGCATACATAACTCGAGAAAAAGGAACTACGTGCGTTATCCTGCACATCGTTATAAATTCATACTTTCCAATAAGGCGCATATCAAAAACAAAAATGAAGACTTAAGCCAGCAAGGAAAACGTGGCCATAATATTTATTTAGACAGTAAATATTTACGTTAAAAAGTATTCACATTCCTAGGAACAGCTCGGAAACTATAAATTTTTAAACACTACTGAACAAAAATAGGAACATTAATGCACACATCAATACACAATCAATGCTCATATTAACAAAAACGGACCACACAGATCTCGATCGGAATCGATTTCGCATTGCGTCATACAGCTCTTGACATGGTAAGCAATCACATCACTCAAAACGCAATATCTGAAAGCTGCAATGCGTAACTACCCTCCTTTCAGGGCAGATTCGTCTAAATCTTGAAATATGAGGCTAACATCGAGATGCAAGTAATAAGTATCATCGGTTCCTCGACTTGACTTCAAAGGCCGCTGAGCTGGCTTCAGAGATCCTCAAACTGAAGGCAATAACCTCTGCCACGGCTCAAGAAGCCAGCGTCAACTTTTATTGCTGTTCAAGCTTTAGTGGCATGCGCGAACACTCGCTGCCAGAGCTTTAGTTGTGTGTGATCAACATTCCATCAGTAGCCGAAGCGGCGCAGATGTTCGAAGGCCGGCGCCTTGCAGACGAAGGGTCGTTTCACGGAGGAGCAGCTGATGTCGTTCCACTGTCCGAAGCCGAAGACGACGCGCAGCTCCGCGCAGTCCTCGCCCTGGCTGTCGCCGTAGGGCGGCGGCGAGTTGGACGGCTCGGAGTCGCTCCAGTTGAGGAAGTCGACGTCGCTGCCGTCCGTCCAGACGTAGCGACCCTCCTCGGCCGCGTCCGTGAGGCCGATGTGGAGGCCTGTGACGGCGCGGCACTTGCCCTCGTGGCAGACCGGACCGAAACGACCCATCAGGAAGAAGTTCTCGTCGTTGCTGTGGACGCTGGCCAGGCTGGCCTTTCGTTTTTGACAGAACAGCTGAGCGTACGTCCAGGGAACCGGCCAGGGAAAGGCTTTGTAGCAAGAACCGCGCCACTCGATCCATGTTTTGAAGCACGCTTGTGATGGCTTCGCTGTTTTCTTAGTCACTGGTCGTTTCGTCGTTGTTGTCGTTTTCCTGGTGAGAGGCAGGGGCTTTGTTGTCGGTTTTGTGCCTTCGTCAGCTCCTGCGTGTTTGTTTCTCCTCCGCACCACCGGCCCCGTCCACTCATACTCAACCTTGTCTGTGACGTATGTCGATGGTTTCGACACTGTAGCCATCACTGTCGTCGTTTCCACCGTGGTATTTGTCGCGGATGTTGCCGATTTGTTATAGGTCTTGCCAAGTATTTGCTCGGTTTTCGCTGTAACACTGGCACTTGTTGAGCCCATGATCCGCTCTGCGATTGTTCGGCTGATTGGCGTTGTTGACTGGGCCATACCCTCCGCATCTGCTGTACTTCTTGAGCTTTTTGAAGCATCCAATATTTGATTGTTAGTACTTGTGCCAATGGAGCTCGTTGTTAACCCCAGGATTCGCTCCGTAACTGTTGTAGACCTGTGGCTTATCGTTGATTCTGTTATAACCTCCGCATCTGATGTAACACTTGCATTTGTTGTCAACTCTAGGAATACATCTGTATCTGCGGTAACGTTTTGGGTTATTGTCGATTCTAGGGTTGGCTCCACATCTTTCCCACCCAGTCGGCTTTCTGTCGACTCTATGAGTCCTTCCGTATTTGTTGCATTATCCAGTGTTGTTGTTAATTCAAGAGTTAGCTCCGTACCTGTTGAAATATTAACGATAATTGCAGGCTCCGTAATTTCCTCTGTATTATATGTGTCGGCTAGACCGGTCGTTGACTCTAGATTTTGTCCCGTGTCCGTTGTACCGATTGGGCTGGTCGAGTACTCCAGACTTTGCTCCGAATCGACTGTACCATTTGTGTCCGCTCCTGAGCCTTGGATTCGTCCAGCATCTGATATATCTATTGGAATTTCTGACGGCTCTAAGATTTGGTTCCTTTGAGTTGCTCGAACTAGAATCGGTGTTGTCTCGTGGGTACGTTCCCAGTCAGCCATACCAAATGAGGTTGTTTGAGGCTCTAACGTTCCCTTCGACTGGGATGCAGCTGTCGTCGACTCGTCGTCTACCCCAAATTTGCCATTATACTCTGTTGTGGACTCTCGCGTTTGGTCTACCTTCGTAGCATCAGTGACGTTGTCTGTTGGTGCTGAGAAAGGTTCGACTGAGGTCTTTGTTTGAAGGATCCCCGCCACTGTTTGTGACGTCTCAGCAAATGTGTTCCACTTTGAGACCGTCTCTTTTGTTTCGCTTGGTGTCTCTGTGGTAGCAAGTCCTTCAACCGTAGAAACTGAGATGTGTCCATCGAGTGTTGACTGTGTTCGTGAGCCCTCCTCAGATTTAGACCAGCTCGAGACTGTCTCTTCAGTTACGCTTAGCGCCTCTGTGGTGGCACTTGCTTCGATCGTAGCAACTGAACTGTGTTCATCGGGCGCTGGCGGTGTTCGTGAACCTTTCTCAAAGTCCGACCACCTCGTGGTCGTCTCTCCAGTTTTGCTAATCATCTCTGTGGTAACATTTTCTTGGACCGTCAAATTTGGACTGCGCTCATCGCTTGTTGGAGACGTTCGTGAATATCCTCCAAAGTTAGACCAGCTCGTAGTCGCCTCTTCAGCTTCTCTGAACGCCTCTGTGGTTGCATTAATTTCAAAAGTGGAAACTGAACTGTGTCCATCGATTATTGGAGGTGTTCGTGAATGCTCTACAAAGCCAGACCAGCTCGAGGTCCAATCTTCAGATCCGCCTAGCGTCTCTGTGGTTGAATATTTTTCCAATGTCGTATCTAAATCGCGGTCATCACCTATCGTCCTTGAAGTCGTTACACCTGCGTAGCCACCTGGCGCAGACGTTTCCCCGACGTTATCATCTTCTTGTGTCAGCACTTCATCAAGCGTTCCGTTACCAGAGGAATCAGGGCGCTTGGATGTTGACTGGAACTCAGACTGAGTTGTGGACATTTGCGCATGTGTCTGGGTCGACTGCGACTTCTCACCACTTTCCTCTCCAGAATCCTGACCTGTCATCAGACGATCCGGTTTACCAGACGCTGTGGTAGGCATCTCCGCTGTAAACGTCATATCAGGTTCTTGGTAAGCATCTGTTGCTGAATCATCACTAGCTTGATCAAAAGGCACGGCTGTCGATGGGGTCACAAAGTCTGGGTGCAATATATCGTCGATTACGGTGACATTGTTGCGGTTGATAGTGATCGACGGCACATATTTTGTTGTTGGATGCATCGTTACTGGGAGTTCAGACGTTACTAGCGGTTCTTCTCCAGTATGTTGTTTGGTTGATGCCAACATTCCTTTTGAGCGGTGATGTTGTGGTGAAACAGACGCCTCTCTAACCGATTCTGTTGAATCTTCCCGAACTGCCTTGTCGGTTGAAGTCGCAGACCCAGAGACGTTTGTCCTCTCCGGCGTCGGGGTTCCATTCTCATTCATTGTGCTGGATGTGGGCGTCTCATGGAAATAGTCCTCGTTTCCTTCTTCTACATTCCAATCAGTAGCCGTCTCTTCGCCTTCGCCCCATGAGTTCGTAGTAGTCGTGCCCGTCTCAAACAAGAAGCCATCGTCAACGGTACTTTCCGAGGTCATGGTTGTTAGCTCATCAAACAAGGCGGACGTCAGTTGAGCGCTATCATTCGATCTGGTTGTTGACCCGCTGTTAGTGTATTCAGCAGTTGTCGACAGTTCTGTTGAGGTTAACAAATGCTCTTCCGGTATCGTTGACTCGTTGGTTTTCTTTGTGCTTGGCGTCGTTCTTCCAACTTCAACTTCTGTGAAATTATCCTGGTAAGTTTTTGAATACCATTGGTATATTTCCGTTGTCATTTGTTCTTTCGGAGCCGCCACAGATAATGGCGTAGACACATTGATGTTCTTCGTTGTTGTCTTCCTTCCAACACCTGCTCTTCTTAAATTGATTTGGAACGTTCTTGAATGCTGTTGGGATGTTTTCGTGGAGAATGTTCCATTAATCGCAGATTCAGTACTTTCGAGTGGTTCTGGAGTCAAACCATCAGTGGTTGTTTTGTACTCGGACGTTACGTTCGATTCCTGGATAGTTTGATCCTGAGAAGACGTCACTGGTTGTACGGATGTTTTCACTTCATTACCGGAGACCGAAGGCACATAAACTCCATTTGTTGGCTCGAACACTGGTGTTGATTGTTGGATTGTGCTCAAATCCTCCAATGTATTCCATTTTGTATCATGTTCCTCGGAAACTGTCCTGGTAAAAGACACAGGCCCTCCTTCCCCGGTAGTCGCTGAGAATGAAGTCTGAGTGCGACTTTCCGTTCCGTTCAATGCAGCAGACACGGTGTTGTTGATCGTGGCAGCATCAACAGTTGACTGCCCAAGCAGTGATGTCGAGCTATCGCTATGAGGGTGATCTGTTGTTGCCTCCCCTCTTTTTGACTGATTGACTTCCGGTGTCGTTCGTTCCTCATATGTATAGTCAGTAGTTGAAGCCTCCTCTTCACCGGTAGGCGTCGGAACTGTATATGTCTGTTGGTAATCCTTCGTCGTGTCCCATGTAGTCGACTCCGTGCTGTTCATCGCACCAGCGAAACCTGTTGGTTGCTGAGACGACAGCATCACATCACTGGATGGCTGTTCCGTTGTCACAGATTCTTCTGTTGTTGTGGATATCGTTTTATACTCATCTGTGTGACCCACTGTGAAAAATCTGTCTTCATTGTAATTCGGCGAGATCGGAGACGTCTGATGCCTAGTTTCCTTTTTGTTGAGTACAGTCGACTCAGTTTTGTTTGAAGAAGGTGCCCAAACTGTTGACTCCTGGGGTAGTGTCGTTAAGTTGTCACTTAACGTTTGATCAGTTGTCAGTTCGCCTTCTCCTACTGGATGTGCTGATGTCGTTCCACCCTTATCCATGTGTTCCGTTCCCCAGCTGGTAGTGACAGGACGATGAGACGGTTGGCTATTCTCGGTTTCGTTGCCTACCATGGACTCTAACGGCAATACTTCTGTTACGCTCTTGCCTTTGGTTGTCAGCTCTTCTATCTTTGGTTCTCCTTGAGTAACATCATCGAGTGAAGACATTGGCGCAGTGCTTATGTCTTTAGCACCTGTTGTCGCTTCTGGCCCATCATTTCCATAACTTGTCCGCATTCTCTCGGTCGTATGTAACGAGGGCAACATACTCCCAGTTGCTTTTTCCGAGATACTCTCTGTGCTTTGATGCTCAGGATCGGTCAGCAGTTGCTTCGTCGTCGTCTCGCCGAACTCGAAGGTCGAATCCGCTTCATGAAGAGGCCCAGTGGAACTGGCCACCTCGGTTTCCTGCCCCTTGTTTGTTTCGGACGATGATGTGAATCCACCTTCACGGTCCACGCCGAATCTACGCATGACAACAACAGGCGAAGTCATGGTTTGACCGGATGCTGACGTTGCCTCTCCCTCTGCCAGTGTTATCTCTTCCTCAGGTGGTTCTTTAAATGTTGCATGGCTACTGGCTGATGATGTTGGCTCTCCAATAGTCGGCTGATCAGATGCTGATGTTGCATCTACCTCGGGTGTTTCAGACGTTGATCTAGAAGCTTCTTCGGTCGGCTTTTCAGACACTGAATGTAAATCTGTACTAGACGGTTGCGGTTTGAGTGACGGCTTTGCTGTATGCAAATAAAATGGATCTCCTGACGGATTTGCTTTCGATGTGGTCTCTGGTATCGAGGTCGTTTCGTGTATTCCTTGCGTTTCATTTTCGCCTCTCCGTTTCTCAGTCGAAACTTCAGTTCTGTCCCAGAACTCTGTAGTTTGTTTCGGCTCCGACGAAGATAACCATTCATCAGGACTTCTTGTGGTCAATTGTGTCGATAGGAGTTCATCCTCCGATTGAGTAACACTTTCGCTGGTATCGATTATGTCATCGACAGTTCCAGTAGTTTGCCGGGAAGATGGCTCAATTTCGTCTGTGCCTATGGGAGGCCGCTCGGATGTTGACGCTGGCATAGTAACTGCTTCCTTCGATTGGCTCGTCAGCTCTGGACTGGAGTAAGGTTCAGACGTTGAGCTGTGCTGGATGTCGGCAGCCAAAGTTGAAGTGTCTGGCTGGTTGAGCAGTGAAGTGGTATAAATCAAGTCGAGGTCCGGTTGGGAAGTGGCTCTGCTTGCCGAAGTTTGAGCGTCCGTTGATCCGAATTTCAAACCACCACCGGTCCAGTCACTCTCTGTCAGATCAGCAGCCGTAATGGACGCTGAAAATGGCGAAGCTGTTGTTACCTGTTCTGTGACAGTGCTCTCCATATCGTTGATCGTGCGATCTTGAGAAGGAGGTAATGCACTAAAGCTTCTTTTCCCGGCACTCATCACCGTCGTCCCAAAGTCACTATCATCTGAGGTGGAACTCCACGGAAGTTGTGAGCTGTTGGTCCCTACTGTGACATCGTGTGAACTGTGAGATGAATGTGCGATACCCGGAGTAGGTACAATAGTGCTTTCAGAAACTATTGAGGCATTTTTGCCAGATTCCAAATCACTACTTTTCTGTGAGCCATCTTTTTCTGAGATGGCATCTGTTGAGCCCGGTGTAGACGACGGCGAGTCCTGGCAGCCTCCATCCACGCCAATATGATCTCCACTATCAGCACACTCAAATGAAGCCACCGTCGAGGCCTCTACTCTGTCGTTACCTCTAAGGCTCTCTGTGCTGCCGACTAAATCAACCGGAAATAATGACGTGTAGTCCAAGCCGCTAGCGACCAAGTCGTCTCCATCAGAATCGAAAACAGACGGCATGGTCGATGACGGTGCGCAGTCGTCATCCTCTGGACTTGAAATGGCTTGATCATTGTTTGTTACCCGTTCAGAATTCGATTCAGACTCCGTCGTCTCATCAATGTCTATGACCAAATTAGTGATATTAATTGAAATTACCAATCCATGTGCCGCACTCAGATTTAGATTTGCCGACGCTATAGGAACTGTTTCTGAAGAGCCGGTCTGGTTCACACTCGCCCCAAGACTGGAAGATTCAGTAAAATGCTGGGCTGATTGCCGAGATACAATACTGTCGTTCTCGTCATTTCCGGGCTCCGACGTAGTCCGGTTCCCATTGAATCTGGAAATATTCTCGGCACGGTCGACAATTGACCCCATGCTGGCAGGTTCAGTTGGATGTTGGTCTTCATCAAGAGTTGAAATCATGTAAGTCCTGCCACTTCCAGCCTCTGTCGATGTTTGGTTCTCAGTTGAGTTTGAGATGCTCCCATCATCTAGGACATATTTAGCGTTGATATACGTGGGCTCCATTGTTACCTCGGTTGCAGCGACAGGCCCATTCTTGTCGATCGCACTCTGTAATCCATCTGGAAGAGTCGGCTTCTGAGTCAATTCTGTTGGCACAGACTTGGAAGTACCGGTTTCGAGCTCACTTGACCTCAGTCTTGTACTTTCAGTTGAATGTTGTGTCGATTCGGAAGCTGTAGCTATATCAAGACTTGTCCCTTTTGCTGCTTCAGTCGTACTTGGCTGGCCTTTTTCTCCCAAGCTGTGTCTCTTCTCTGCTGCGGTTGTCGCTGTGTCGTTGAGCATACCTAGGAGCAAGGCCAGCCTGCTAGCAGAAGTTTTCCCTGTCAGAATATTATTCAACAGTCCCATGGCTTTACTAAGAGAGCTAGTGATAGATGGTAGATAACTCCCAGCGCCAGCAGAGTACTTCTTTATTTTACGATCACCACCAACATCTTGCTGGATGGTGTTCCGCGTTTTGTACCCTCCAGAGACATCCCTGACGTGTCTACGGCGGCGGCCAGTGGCACTATCTCCGACTTGGGGATCACTGTAGTCCCCTACTAGACTCCCGTAGTCGCTCAAGATGCTGCCCATATAGTCTCCAACAGCACCTGTGTGATTGATTTGGCCGTCCACGATCGACGGCACGGCCAACATTCCATCGTATATCTCATAATCCATGTCCTTGTCCAACGGTGGAACAGTGCCGGTGTAAGGAATAAATATGCTGTTCGTAGATGGAGTCGAAGCCGGCGTGGTGGATGGAGTTGTCGTCGCTCGCTTCGTTGTCGTCTCGGGCATCGTTACCTTCAGTTTTAAATCAGCTTGTTTGGCCATGAACTCTTTCCTATTTTCCAGTACCAAAACATGTTCTTTGGCATTAAATATTTCGTATACCAGCACAGCTATTGCCGCCGCCGTCAGCATGACAGCCGTCCACATCACAACGAAGACACATCGCCGACGACAGGTCCGACGGCGGTGAAAGGTCTCCGAACCGACTAGGGAGGCGTCCAATATGGCCACTGCATCGCCGGCAGTGTCCAACTTGTCGCCCGGTGAGACACCGAGCGGGCCGGCGGCGGACGATAGTAGCAGCTCCGAGGCTTGACTGCGTCCCGTCCTCCCATGAGGAGAGACGAGAAGCTCACTTCCAGGCATTCAAGAGTCACCAGCTCAAGGCAGATTCGGCGCGATAGCACATGTCACACATCAGCTTATGATTTTATATGGATACAATGATAAATTTGTCATCTTTAAAATACGAGAAGAACGCATGTACGACAACACCACTTACTGGTACTGTTATTGTTAAGTGTCCAATAGAAACTGTAACAACACAATGCATTTACATTTAATACCAAAATAACGACAGATTGGAGGACGGACTGTTTGAACAAAATGCTGACGATGTCAAATTAACAGGACTTGATTTCCAACAAAGGTGTAGCGCGTGCCGTTGGTCTAGGTTTACTTTCAGTTCTATTTATTCAAACTGTGCGCAAGACAGCACCCTTTCAATTTTATTTTGCGCATTATTTGCATATTTGCAAGAGAATATGTGCAGTGTAATGATGCCTAATGACACTACATATGTTGCCAATTGCCCATGCAACACACAAAACTACAATGACGCGCCAATAAATATAAAAATGTCATCCTGCACTGAATCAGTTTCACGACAAATAAAACTTTTTGTCTGATTACATGACAAAGTACAATAAGCAATTTCGACTCGATAAGGAATAGAACAAAATATGAACATAACTTTATTGCTCATATACGGCGTTAAAACGCACATGGCTCGGTGACTGAAGTAATTCGGTTACTGTGATCTCCGGAAGAAGAATGATAGCAGTTTCGTGCGATGCTCAATAACATTTTCACGAATAGGTTGTACTTGGAGCGCACAATCTTCTTAGAAAGGTCAAAGTTCAGGTCGGTGCCACCCCGCCATTGAAATGAGCTATTTGTCCCGGGGAAGGGGACACCGTTCCGTGATACCATCCTCAGAATACAAAAATCCTTCTTCTCCGCACCGCAACCCCCTCCGGGCTGGACAGGCAACTTTATCTCATGCGGGCTGCTCCCTTGGAGCGGCACCGCTGCTCCCGAGGGAGCGCACCCCGTAGCCGGGTGCAGTGATTACCTTGGGGCTGGGTGGCCTGTCCTCTGGACGGGCTCAGCCCCGGTGACTCACTAGGGTGCCTGCCCAGACCAATGTCTCCCCCATATCCTATCATCCTCCCGGCTCTGAAATGGTCTAATTGGACCGAAAGGGCCTAACCCAACAAAACAAACAAACAAAAACAAACCGGGGAAGGGGAATTAGTCCATAAGCGTACTACGTTTGCGAATGGAAATCAATGTTCTAAATTGACACAATCATACTAAAATGGAACAGGTAAGCAGCATTGTCCAGGGGGAAGAGCGAAGAGAAAGAATAACGTAGCGGCCAGTTACTCACATTGTGATAGGTGACATTCACCCTCAAATCGTTCTGCATTGCCTGCTGACGCATCTTTCGCCTCTCATCTGAAACAGAAGAAAAAACAAATATTGCAAAGAGGCATTTCTGTCTCAGTCAGAAGTTTGCACTTTTCCGGGCCAGGTCAATGGCTACGCCAGCAAAGAAAAAACTAACACATGCCTATAGTTATTGTCACCAATGGCCATTTCCATGTTTCCATGCAATGTACTTAAACATGCAGTTATAGCATTGAGAGAACACATTTTATCAACTGTCACATTTAGTAGGCCAAACATATGATTTTCATATTGAGTGTTCTACAAGCTGGCCGGTTCTCCGGACAGATTTGGGACAGAATTTATTCTCCGGGACCAGGACAAAAATTCACAATTCCAGCATTGCTGGTGAGTGGCACCTCTCTTACGCGTAAAAATATCACATTTCGATCAAAGTTGACGCTTGTGGATCTAAACAGCCAACCTATTTATCAAACTTACCATGATATTGAAGCAGCCCAATGACTTCCATTTTTTACTTTTATGGGGCGCGATTTAACCACGGAACAATATCATATTGAAATTAAATGTAGCAAACAGCCCATTGTCACGATATACTATACTGCATGGCCATCTGAGAATCGCAATCTAGCAATTGTTCCATTATCGAATATTTGAGAAGCATAACTAACACTACCACGCAAATCTTCTCTGACTCTTTTCTATAAAACCCTTTACACTGATACAGGAGCAGACACGTGCAGCTTCTCTGACCCCTGATTCTACACTGCGCCACTCATTGGCCTGGTCTGTTCAGTGTCCAAACAGGGCACCGCCCCGAACCAGACAGAAGACCAGACCCCCAGCGAGTGGCGGTCAGGCCACGTGTGGGGTGGCGTGAGTGGAGAGTCGTGTAGTGTTGTGGACAAACCGCCGGAGCAGGGTGGGGGACGAGGGTCAAAGGGAATGGGAATAATGGTGGGAATAATGATCGATGCCTTGGATGCTGTGCATAAATGTGTACCGTTATGTTGCGCAATGGTTATGCAGGGAAATGTAATGCGGTGATGTAATCTACATACAGTAGGATAAAATAATTTTCCTAAATTCATTTCATATTTCTCCATTAACCTGCGCCCTGGTGGGGTCTGTTTATAACGCGACCTGGTGGGGGGGGGGGGGTTATTTTTTGCCCCCTTCGTATCTCCGAAACTACTGGACGGATCCGCCAAATTCAAACGACGTTCGAAAGGCCTGTCAAATTTGTCGAAGGAAACCAAATTTCATTGACCTCGGGGTCACCGATGACGTCACAAGTCAGGTCAAAGATGAAATGTTTCACCGTTCACGGGTCATCTAGGGAATGCGCTGCAACACCGAAGAAAACGCATTTTGTCGAGAATCAGCGATAGGGCGTCAGTTGCCTAGTACATATGTTGCTATAAGAGGTCACTGACATTACCAGGTCAGGTCACAGGTCAGGTCACCAAGGGTCACAGGTCAGGTCACATGAACCTAACTTTAGGTACTAAGGTTGTGCGATACATGTTTTATGGCCAATTTTTCATTTCCAACTCAATGGTGTTGGTTATAAGACTATCAGGTACGGCTTAGGTCACTTTCTGGTGAAGGTCAGGTCAAGGTCAGGTCAAAAAAGGTCAAATTTTAGTTGATAGTTTTGCATAAAATGGGTATTGATTCGATGCAGCTCGTCACAGGGAGTCTAATGGTGGTCTTTGTTTTGCGCTACGGGGTCTAGAATTGCTAAAAATTGAGTTTGAAAATTTGACGTCATCAATTTTGAACCGTTTTTTCGCTATAACTTCGCTAAAAAAAGAGGTATTAATCTCAAATTTGGTATGTGGATAGAAGATGGTAGGGACTATCACATGTATTCCGGTTTTTGCGAAATACAAAAAAAGGATTTTTCGGCTATTATATTCAAACAATCTATTTTTTTACTTTTGGGGGTCAAAATCCAAAAATTTTAAAAATCCGAGATAGCAGTTTTGTAGCCCTGTCAATTCTACAGCTTTTATGTCTTAATCGTTTTTCTGTATTTGCAAAGCTATAGGCCTGACAGCTCTTCCCGCGAAACCCTTTTTTGGGTCAAAAACGGCAGAACATGACGTCACTCTGACGTCATTTGTGGCCAACCTATCATAGCCTTTGGAAATTTTTTGGTCACAATGTGTAAAATTGATGTCCGGGAGGGTACTGAAAGTTTGGTGACGATCGGCGCAGCGGTTCTGGAGATATATCGAAAAGTCTGGAGGGGGGGGGGGGCAAAAAAATAGCCCCCCACCAGGGCGCGGGTTAAGTAATCAAACATGGGAAAAACAAAATATCGGGCTAAGGAAATAGCTCAGAATTGTGATAAATGATAAACGAAAGAACTGAGCATCAGCGTATATCCAATGACTCCGGCTAATCTACCTGTCGTCCGAACTTAAAGCGACGAAATGCCATTGCCCGTCCAAGTACAGTAGCTCCCTGGAAGTAGGCATTATCTCATGAAGCAGCCACGCTAGATGGTGACATTCCCTTTCAGGCCGCTACCACGCTCGTATTGGCTCCCAAGGTTGATATAGCTAAAGATGGTCAGCGGCTTCTCTCGCGGTACAGGCCAGGTGATATTGGTAAACGGGGTAAGCCGTGGCTGGATATTTGGATAAGCCAAACGTAGTCGACTGTCGACGTTAACGAAACGAGATGAATGGTGTTTATCAGTCTACAGCGCTTGACGACAAGTCGTTTTTTATAATACAACAGTTCTTTGAGGACTGAATAACACTGGAGCAGTTGAGCGATGTGTCAAAAAATAAATTTCCATGGTAATTAATTGGCCCGTCCGGGGACAGTTTTACCACTTCTACAAAGCGAGTTAATGACCGCCGATTTATTTACCGGTTAACGCTTAATTATAACCCAGGGAACCGATTTAAATCAAATTGGGAATTAATTGTCTATATTGCGTATCGACGACGTCTGCCAAGATCCAGTCCAATCGCTTGATTGGTATCGCTTGATAGTTGATACCAAACATATTTTTGGTGGCCTCAAATGTTACCAGTTCTGGACATTTTTGCGGCGGTGACGGCGGCGATATTCCAAGGCAACAGCTACATATCCAGGCGCGGATACAGGGGGGGGGGGGGGCATGGGGGCCATGGCCACCCCTTGGCCGATTTTTTTTCAAAAATAAAATAAAAAGTTAAAAAGCTGAAAAGGGGGCCTCCTGAAAATAAAGTGGCTATTCATGTTGAGATGTTGCCTGAACAGCTAGATAAGCTCAATAGACGCAGTTTTTTTTTGGGGGGGGGCCCAACAAGTGGGAAGATGGGGCCTCCAACAGGTGGGATTATGGGGGCCTCCTGGTTTCTAATGGCCCCTCCCTTGGAGATTTTCTGGATCCGCCCCTGTACATATCGATAATAAAATATTTGAATTCGCTAATAAATTCAAATGTTTGGAAACACTGATGAAACTTGCTATTCGTCAAATGATACAGTCCAGTAGGACTGCGTGTTTATTTCCAAGTTTCGGTGGGAGGACCGAGAAACGAAAACAGGGCCTCTCGGCTCTTGACCTTGGTATAGATACAATAATGTCCGAGCTCTGGAAGCGTTCAATAAGAAACCAAACATGTCACTTAGCGATTGTGTCAGCCATACTTAATGCGTACAATATGAACTCAGTGTACAGACAAAATGGAAATAAATAGGGTCTAAGCAACAAACAAGTATATTTTGGTACCCGTACCCACTGTAACCTGTCTTTACATAGCATGTTTCTGATTTCGCGTTGTAACGGTCTTTTTGTTGGTAAGACAGATGCAAGACTCAAGACAGATGCACAAACAGGACGGCGTTAAATAAGAACGGCACCCCAACCACTGTAACCAGCTCATTCAGCGTGTCTAACGGATGGCCAGTAGACCTACCTGTCGGTCCCTCCGCTGACGGGGGTCGGTCGCTGCCGACACCGCCACCACCGCCACCCACCACGGTAGGTGGCGCCAGAAGGCCGTCTCGCTGCTCCCTGGAAAACGGACGAGGCGTGGGTGAGTGACAGTTCTTACTGCTACAGAATAATAGAATATTGAAGATGCAATATTTGTACTTCATAGTTGCAATTCACAGGTACTTCATATCACAATTGCATCATTAATTTCAATTGATAAAACCAATTTAACTTATTGGGTAACAATCACATCAAATGCCGTTTTCAATAAGACACTGACACGCTATCAAGATAATGCACTACACAAGCGGCAATGTTTCCTATGCGTATTTGCGGAGCCACCCCACCCCGTGTCCCTCCCTCCCATCTCCCGCACTCACGAGATGATGGCGACCGGTCGATCGTCGCTGTGTACCGAGAGGCGTCGGGCGAGCGGCCGTTGACAGGCCACCTCAGGCGAGCAGCTCGGCTCCTGACACTGCCGGCAGACCGTGGCCGGCTCCTCCACCTGGCCCAGCACCGGGGAGCGGGAGGAAGTGGAGGCGGCGTCCGGCTCAGCGGACCCCGCCGGGGAGGCGGTCGGGTCCTCGCCGGCCTCTGCCGCGGCCCGTCTCGCCGCGGCGGCGGCGGCGGCGGCGGCGGAGCGGCGGTAGTCGGAGGCGCTGACCGTGTACGAGCGGTGCCGCCGGTCGCCACCGTCGTCCTGCATGCCGCCCAGCAGAAAGGCGGCCGTCGAGTCCACCAGTCTGGCCAGCAGGCCCCGTCGCACGGGTGGGGGCCGGGCGGGAGGCGGCGCGGCGGCGGCGCTGGCGGCAGGCTCGTCGGCAGGCTCTATGACAACCGCAGGCACCACGGGAGGTCTAGAGGGTTGTGCTGCTGTCTCTCGTCTCCCTCTGTCCTCTGACGATCTCCGGGCGGCCTGACGTCGCGATCGAGATCCGTTACTCATCCCGACCCTCTCGGCGAGTCTCCGTGCCGCCTCGGCCTCACTGGGCCACACCGCGGGCGGGTGCCGACTGGAGCCGCCAGCGCCCGGGAACTGGAAGTCGTGAGGAAAGTCTCCGGTCGTCTCCAACTCTAGCTCCTGGACGCTGACATCCGAGGCCGAGGTTAAGCTCTCCCGCCGCTGATGGTGGAACTGATACAGCGCCTGCTCGAGCTCATTGTCAGACCGGCTGTCGTCGTCAACAACGTCTTCGTCGTCGCCGCCGTCGTCGCCCCCCTCGCCCTCGTCGCTGCGGCTCTCCGAAGCCGACGTGCTCCGCGACTGGGACCGGTCCGCTCCGCCGGAGACGACGAAGCTGACCGGCCGGTCGTCGCGGGCGTCGTTGAGCTCGTGGAACTGCTCGCTCTGGTGGAAGGCCGCAGCGAGTATTCCCGACGAATCCAGCGACAGACGTCGGGTTCGCTCAGGTTCGGGCACTCGGAGACCCGAGCCTCCCGACGCAGTGACGGGAGCGGACGGGCGGCCGGCGGCCGGCGCTCGAGGCGTCGCTTCGTCATCGTCTTCAGCAGCTGCAGTAGCTGCCTCGTCATGAATTGTAACAACAGGAAGAGTTGGCGTGTTATTATCTCTACCAACCGAGCGTGAGCGACCTTTCTCCTCCCTAGTGTCAGACTTTAATACCTTACCAGCTTTTTCGCGTCCCTCTCGTTCACAATTTGCTGCCGCCTCGATTGACATCAGTTTTTCGGCACCACTGCCGTTCCTGCTGCTGGCACACTCCCTCACCGATGCGCCGCTGTCCGTGCTGCTGCTCACCTCCTCTCCTAGATCCTTCACGGCACCGCAGAGGCACGGAGCGCCGGCGGGGCAGGAGCACTCCCCGACCAGTGTCACGTCACTGGCAGTGCTGTACAGGGAGTCGCTCATGGAGGCCATCCGCTCCTCCTGTCGGCACAGTTCCCCGGCGGAGAGACACGAGTCCACCGACTGGCTCAGGGAGCCCGGCTCGTAGGAGTCCTCTGACCGCCGGGAGCGGGGCACGGAGACGGAGCCGGAGACGGCGCGGCGGCCCGAGCCGGAGCCGGAGCCGGAGCCGGAGCCCAGGGGAGCCTCAGATGCCCGCGGAACGGTCGGATCCCGACCCTCGGCCATTGCAGCACTTCAGAACTAACACAACCTAATGCAAGTCACGACCAGGCGACGCACGACGCAACAGCGTAATGACACAGTGGATGGGCCACTCAACAGCACACCACGCCCGCGCTGACGCAAGACGTGATCTATCTCCCGTTTCACAACGATAAACAAACGCGTCTGGTGTCCTGTCGGCACACGAGACGGTCAGGAGAGCCACCAGACACCGTGATCCGATCCTCCGTTCCGGCGGCTCACGTGATCGGCACCGGGATTCTCAACGCCGCCTGGCGGTCACGAAGTTCGAACACTACCCGTTCACGGCACTTTCCACGTGCGCCCGCCCACCGATTGTTTTGACGCCGTGACCTTGGCGGGCGTCGCGCCGACGAGCTTGAGAGCTTGAACCGTCGGTGCTTCACGGGTCTATCTGTCGATCGTCGCCGTGTCGTTCCGTTGGAGGCCGCAGCCAGCTGCGCAGAATATCAGGCAGCAAAAACTGCAGACTCGTCCGGCTCGGCACCGATGGGCGATGAGACGGGGAGCGAGTCGCCAGCCGGTGCGCAGTAGAACACGTGTTTCACAGTTGCTGTGCGGCCCACACTTCACTACTGCTTCCCTTTCCTCAGACTCGTGACACGGGGCCGCTCGCCGGCGACCGGCGCCCGCGGCGGTGCGGGAACAGCTGATTACAGACTGCAGCTAGCAAGAGTCACGTGACCGAGCTGCCGGTTTGCGCCGGTCCTGCCGCTGCACCGTTCGGTAGTAGAGTGGCCAGATTATACACGTTTGGCGCACGGTGTAAGCCCGAACTCACGGCGATTGTGAGAGCAGCTTTCCCTTTGCAAAAACGTTACTCTGGCGGCTCTAACCAGTAACCACCCATATTCAGTAGTAGCATTGCAGCCTTCAATCGAGAGTGAAGTCCAAGCATTCATCTCACGACTGTTCAATGTTCACTGCGCAGTGGTTTCCTTTTGCAGACTTGCCTCTGCTCTCGGCGCCTGTAACGGCGCAATGACGGCGGCCAGTGACGCAACGCTGCGCGGCCTTCGGTATCGACCGCCGGCTCCCTACTGACCGATAAGGCAAACCGTGTGACGCGTGTCAAACACCCACGCGCTGGGATAAGCTTATCAATGCCCACTGACTGCACAACTCACTGCTACCTTTTAGCCAAAAGCACGTGGGAAGAGGGGTTTAATACATTATGCCAGTGAAATTCGATTCAGCTAGGCATTTCGAATAGCTTTCCAAAAAAGAAAACAAGTGTCCTCGAGCGATACATCTCAAAAGCACCTACCTAGATACCTACGTATGGCTCAAATGTGTCCGTTCCCCGAGGCATTGTTCACTCACTGTCCAGTCTGTCTTAAAAGTACCGCGCAAGGTGACGGTGGATCCATCAAGCCTGACCGAGGAACTAGGAAGGGCGTGCTATAATTTGAAAGTCACCGAACCAATTGACCTGGGGAATGGACGAGGATGTCCATTGCTTCGGTGACTCAAATTTAGCAGTCCTTCCTTAGTCAGGCTTGATGGATCCACCGTTGCTTTGCGTAGTACTTTTAAGACAGACTGTCCTTTGCCGTCCAAGGATAGTGCCGGATCCAAGGATAATGTCATTAGTCATTACCGTTCAAATGAAGCTATTACCGTAAATGGACCTTTCTATTACATTACCGTTCAAATGAAGGTATATATTAAACCGCGAGTAGGTAGAATAATTTTTTTAAACGTCGAGCCGATAGGCCTGGCGTTTAAAAGATTTTTCTACGTACGAGCGACAGCCGATATCTTTCGGGCGCTTAAAGGTAAAAAAATACTTTTTTATATAAAAATACGACACATTTCAGACTAGACGAAATGTCTACAAGACGTTTAACAGTTTGACAATCGTCTAGACGTTTAACCCGCGCCCCGTTGGGCTCTGCCGAGCAACGCGCCCGGTTGGGGGGGGGCATTTTGGCCCCCCTAAGATCTCGAGAACCACGCAACATAGCGACAAGCGGTAAACGGCGTTGGATAGCCCCAACGGGGAACTACCTTGTGACCCAATTTCATTGACCTAGGTCAAACCGATGACGTCACAGTTCAGGTCAAAGGTCCAATTTTCACCGTTTACAGGCATTTCAAGAAATGCGTTGTAAAATCGAGTAAAATGCATTTCATTGAAAATCATCGATGGGGAAATGTTCTTCAAACACATATTTTGCTATTTGAGGTCACTGATACCAGGTCAGGTCACAGAGGTCAGGTCACGGGGGGGTCACAATATGAAAGTGTCGTGTGATACATGTTTTATGGTCCATTTTACATGACAAATGCGATTATGTGGGTCAGGCAGCCTTTGGGGCCAGCTTAGGTCACGTTTTGGTCAAGGTCAGGTCAAGGTCAGGTCAAGGTCAGGTCAAATTAGGTCAAATTTCAAAGTTAATATTTTTGCATAAAATGGGTATCGAATCGATGCAGCTCGTCACGGGGAGTTCAATGGTGGTCTTTGTTTTGCCGTACGTGGTCTAGAATCGCTAAAAATTGAGTTCAAAAATTTGACGTCATCATTTTTAAACAGTTTTTTCGCTATAACTTGGCCAAAAAACGAGATATCGATCTGAAATTTGGTATGTATATAGAAGAGCGCTAGGACTATCATATATATTCCGGTTTTTTCGAAATTCGGAAAATTTTGGATTTTTTCAAATTTTTCTAAAAAATCAATTTTTTGAATATTTTTTTGGTCAAAAACAAAAAATTTTGAAAATCCGAGATAGCAGTTTTGTAGCGCCTCTTTTTGTCTACTAGACCATATAAAGAAGTTTGAAATTGCTTGATAACTGTAGATTTGGTGAGCGTTTCAAGATTGCATGTTTTTTGCTCATTTTTGCTCGAACATGACCTCAGTTTGACCTCAATAACTCCTGACCTAAGGTGACCTAAGACTTGAAATTTGGTGTGAAGGTGTCAAATTGATGCCCGGGAAGGTACTGAAAATTTGGCGGCGCTGCGCGCCGCCGTTTTCTTGCTATTCAGGAAAAACAACAGGGGGGGCCAAAATGGCCCCCCAACGGGGCGAGGGTTAACAAATCAGGACATCTGATAATTTTCTCTCTTTGCATGTGAAGCAATTGTAAAGTGTAAACACTGTCTACGGTGCGGGATAATTCCCCTTTAACCTCAATATGCCTTACAGCCCATTTTATCGAGTCAATCAGGACCAGGCTGCATGTGCATGAATCATCAGAAGCACGTGTTATAAGAATTCATTTCACAGCCATCATAATTCATAACTGTCCGGAAGCACAAGACTATAGTCTGTTCCATATCAAGCTTGCAGTCGGAGTTTCTTCGGCTAATCGCTCCTCTTATAGGTATCATGTTTTGCTAAATTTGTCCCGTTCTGAAGTTTGAACTAGGACTCCACCTAAGTTTTATGTATAGGCTTGGTCTCCATGATATCCGCATAATGCTCTCGACCTCTGCGCGATATAAATTGACATAACATATATAAGGTCGGGCCTCGAACGGACGAGCCGTATAAAGACGTAGCTATTGACGAAGTTGAACGATTAAAACGCTTTGATCTAACTGAATTTTTCATTTAATTTACAAACGTCCTCAGCATTTCCTTTGACTTTTCGAACTTGTTTTGTTTTGTTGGGTTAGGCCCTTTCGGTCTGACAAGACCATTGCAGAGCCGGAAGGATGATAGGATTTAGGGGGAGACATTGGTCTGGGCAGGCACCCTAGTGAGTCGCCGGGGCTGAGCCCGTCCAGAGGACAGGACACCCAGCCCCAAGGCACTCACTGCACCCGGCTACGGGGTGCGCTCCCTCAGGAGCAGCGGTGCCGCTCCAAGGGAGCAGCCCGCATGAGATAAAGTTGCCTGTCCAGCCCGGAGGGAGGTTGCAGCGTGGAGGAGAAGGATTTCAGTATCCTGAGGATAGAAGCACGGAACGGTCTTTTTGTTTGTTTTGTTGGGTTAGGCCCTTTCGGTCGACAAGACCATTGCAGAGCCGGAAGGATGATAGGAATTAGGGGGAGACATTGGTCTGGACAGGCACCCTAGTGAGTCGCCGGGGCTGAGCCCGTCCAGAGGACAGACCACCCAGCCCCGAGGCACTCACTGCACCCGGCTACGGGGTGCGCTCCCTCAGGAGCAGCGGTGCCGCTCCAAGGGAGCAGCCCGCATGAGATAAAGTTGCCTGTCCAGCCCGGAGGGCGGTTGCGGCGTGGAGGAGAAGGATTTCAGTATCCTGAGGATAGAAGCACGGAAAGGTCGAACGGTCTTTTCGAACTCTTTCCTTACTGTAAAAATACAGTCGACTTTCGTGTTGCGCAGAAGACCACACATTTTCTTGCGTCGTTGGCCGCTACCACGTCGCCCTCTAGTGAGCTAGTATAGTTGCCTGTGTTTACCACAAGGATGCGCTGCAGTACGAGTCCTACCTAACCTATGTAGACGTTGTGGTGACAGGTGCACTCCTTACAATAACGTTTTGCAGTCTGGCACCGTAGGTAGGTATTGAGGGCATATTTTAGAAAGGTCCATTCGTCCGAAGTGTCTGTTTGGGCGGTTGGGTGGCCTTTCGTGAGTCCCGTCCCGTCGTGACCCCGTCCCGTGGCCCCGTCCCAAGCAACGGATGGGCTCAGCGGCTGCGATTACCAGTCGATGGTCGAATCCCTCCCCCTGGCCTCCCCCCTAGTCTGATACTTAATTCTTCCATTCCGTGTCCCTGTAGCGGTACTTATAGGCCAATATGAATAGACACAGTCAGCAGTCACACAACTATCATTTTCGTAACATTTATTATTTGCGCTTGAGCTTGCCCCTCAGCTATCCAGTGGTCTGTATCAAATGGGCATTCGCAAAATGCTCACAAAATATGACCTACCGACCTACACTTCTATCGATGATACACGCAAAGCGGTTTTGCCGACTGTCTGGCTACAAACGAGGGTGACTTTTATACTCACCAGTTGCATTTTTATGCTTCACGACTATCGGTCGAGCTTCGTCCTGCGGTCTTTATCAAGTGATGTAGCCTCATGAGAAGGACTGATTAGTGTGAGAAGATTCCATCATTACTTTTGTTCTATGGGATTTGGAGACATGCGTCATTTGGCTGACAAGTCCTGGTGTAATTATTGAGTGAACATAACCAGTATAACGCCTTTTGGGGCGACTAACGGAGCGAGCGAGAGGGTGAGCCTTGCACGTGCGACATTTCGAGGGGGTACCTCCAGCTGACTTATGCACGGCACCCTACTAACCGGTCTCTAGCGATGTGCCAAATTTGAGCACAATCGGCCCAGCCGTTCTCGAGATCTGGAAGCGGCACCCTGCACGTGCGCACGTGCAAAATGGGTCCCAACTGACTTTTGCACGGCACCCTACTAACCGGTCCCTACCCATGTGCCAAATTTGAGCGCCATCGGTCCAGCCGTTCTCGAGATCTGGAATCGACCCCTGCACGTGCGCACGTGCAGCAGCACCCCAACTCTGGCACATGGATATGCAGTGCCTAGTGGGTGCCTACCTACATGCCAACTTTCAGCGCAATCGGCCAAGTAGTTACCAAGATATTGCAACAATTACAAAACGGACACCTCTTCGTTTTGCACGTGGCACGTGCATAAGGGGTCACCCACATGCATCAGGAATAGTCCAAT